AGATATAGAACAAAATTCAAGCCTATATTTAATAATTATTTGCTTAATTTGAATCATTCAAAGTAACTGATTACTTACAAGACAGAGATGAAGGTTTTGAGTTAACACATAGAATTGGATCGCCAAATCAGACTCACGTGAAACAGAGCTCCTACCTAGCCTTAAGCTTTACTAAACATTACAAGGATAGAGGCCATCAAATAATTCACATGAAGCAGAGAGGTCTGGGACATCAAGGGCAGGTGGCAATTCAAGCCCAGATGTTGGTTAACATGGGTGTCTGGCCCAGAAGAGATGAAGATGCTACTAAGCAAGGCTCACACAATAGAGAAAGTTTAGCTTATAAAATATCTCCATATTTTAAACCCAGAAAATTGTACAGGCCTGTGGCTTTCTCCCTTCCTCCCAGGGATACTTAAAAACTTGGTAACACAACTTAGATTATTGTTAACTCCCCCATTGTCTAGTTTCCCTGTATTAGAAATAAGTCAAGTCTGGGGGAGAAGAGGGGAAGAAAAAGAAGGCAAGTGGCCCAGTCTAATCTCCCCGTCAACAGGGTCTTTTGGTAGACTACTGACGCTTGTTAGGAGGAAGAAATCTTAACTCTGAAATGCCATAGTAGGAAGAACCCAGGATCTATGAGGCATGGCACCTTGGAGAAGGTCACTTGGGCTGTAAAATAAAAATAAAATAAAATAAAATAAGCTTTCTTTCTTAGCAGATGTACTATTGGCACAACTGAAGTATGGTTGTCTACCACTCCAGATCATTATTTCCCTTTATACATTGATAAACCCAAATGCAAAGCTTAATATTTATCACTATTTAGTTCCATCTACTTACTTTAGCCTATTATTTCATTATAAACCACAAGCCTGTGGTTCCAGTTACTTGGAAGGCTGAAGCAGAAGGATGGCCTGAGCTCAGCAGGTCAAGGCTGTGACGGCCATGAGCACGTCACTGCACATCTATTTTATTATCACATACCAAGCCAAATTTATCACCTGTTTTTTTTGTTTTTTTTTTTTTACTGGTATTGACAGGAAAATAGGATTTAAAAAGCAAACAAACTTAGAGAAAAAAATGAAACTGCTCTGCTAAGGTAATTCCATCAAAAACATCTGAGGGACATTCTGTGCCCACAAGGAACATGAAACAGTAACCCAGGACAAGTAAGGTAGGTAGAGCTAGGCTTCAATTCCTCCCAGCCCAACCTGAGGAAGGCCTTCTAAGACCTTTGTTATGCTTGGAAATTATGGAACTGGTCACATCAGAGATAACTATATTAAAAAGGAAATTTATTTTTTAAAAAGTAAACATTGAAACAATTCCAAAACAAAAAACATGCATACACATATATGTGTATATGTAAACATATTTTTATATGTATAAATATATAACACACATTTTTAAACTAACCACTTAATATTTTTATCATGCTAATCTCTCAATTTTAGTAAGAGTCATAAACTAACTGTGAATGTGTGCTTTAATATAGATTTCTGTAAGTTATAGAAAATAATAAAACAATTCCTAGGACTTACTTCTGCTTCATTACTGTATTATAAAGTTCAAAATCTTTTATTTCAGTAGAAAAAAATATTATTTAACATATAATTCAAGTTTTTAAAACATTTTTCATTGATTAAATATTTAACATGTTTTACTGAATGTAAATTCAGTGGAAAATAAATAGAAATCAAACAGACCTTAATATTAAATTTGGCTGTAGTAAGCTACTTTAGGTGGTTATTTTTAACACCTACCTGCTTAATTTTTGAAATTTTGTTATCTTTTGAAATGTCACTATAACAGTTACTACAGGCACCTAACTTTTTTCTTTAAGTCTATACTATAAGGCTATAGTAATGGAAGAAAAGGAGGAAATACTGTAATTGTGAGTAATTGAGAATAGGTGAACTATTAAAATCCTTTTAAAACAAGAGTATTTTTCGTTTTTAAGATTGTTATGACAAAATATTAGAAAGTCATGGCATTTGGTTTATGGCATGGCAATGCTGTGGAGATCTTTCTTTAGACTAAACATACTAGTAAGACCACTATTTTTCTCATTCTTGTCTCCTGTAAATTATAACTCTGTTGAATCTGACAAAATAAATATTTCATTTTCATTACCATTTCATACATATTTTCTTACAAGATGTTTTTAAGGTATAGATACTAGGGTAAAGCATTAAACAGAAATTCTCACCCTTAAGGGATCACACTGTAACTAATACCCTTAAATAAATGCACCAAGAACCATCTGAAATCAAATGTACTTCCTAAATTGCAGAGGAATGGTTTAATGATTAGATTCCAGAGTTGTGTCATAATGCAGCAGAGTTGGGAAAGGATGCATACTCTGTGACTTTCAAGTTGAAACATTTTCCAAATGTATTGTCACTCATTATCTAAAGGCATGATCTGAGTAGGGGGAGGAGGAGATGCTCAAGGAACACAGAAAAAACACTAAGGTTACCAAACAAGTCAGGGTGCACAAAGAATAATGTTTATGCTTAAAAATAAGTCATTAAAGCACAAATGTGTTTGTTTCCCTTAAAATAAGCAATCAACTTGTCATGCTTTCCTTGATAATTAATCCGGGGTAAAAGTTGAATATCAGAAAAAGAAGATGTAGGATCTGTATTTCTCTATATAGACAGAAGTGTACTCCTTAAGCTCTAAATTACTCTGCCAGAGAAATTTTAAACACCAGTATATATAGTGGAGAGTGATACAAAAATAGTGATCAAGACATTATATAAACTATAATACCCTAAATTCCAAAGAATCTTCCTTTTCAATGATTTCTTCAGTAGGGCATACATTTAAAACTCACAAGGAAGTTGCTACTATTCATCACTTTAAGTTTTATTTAGTTCTAATCACAAAATCAGTTAAGAAAAAGTTTACTACAAATAGCTTAAAAAGTTATATAAGCCTCAAGTCAAAGTGCTTTCCAATTACCGGTTGTCATTTTTATGTAAGTGATAAGAACTTCATGATTATTTACAGTAAGAAATTATTGTTATTATCTTGTTAGCCATACTTAGAATAACAAAATGTACAAAGTGACTTGGAAATTCACTGCATGAAAAAATCTTCTTATAGTCAATGAGTACATTTAAGATCTGTAAATAACACAGGATCTCAATAGTATCTATTAACATTCATCATTTCATCTATTTTTTCCTATTTTCTTTCCGTGTAAATATATTCACTTTATTAGATTAAAAATTTATTTCTAGCTGGGTGTGGTGGTGTGAGTCTGTAGTTCCGGCACCTTGGAAGGCTGAGGTGGAAGGATCGCCTAAGTCCAGCAGGTTGAGGCTACGGTAGTCATGAGCATGCCACTGTACTCCAGCCTGGGTGACAGAGTGAAACTCCAGCTCAAAAAAAAAAAAAAAAAAAAAAAAGGCCGGGCTCAGTGGCTCAGCCTGTAATCCCGCGCCTTTGGGAGGCTGAGGTGAGTGGATTGCCTGAGCCCGCGGGTTCGAGACCCGCCTGGGCAGCGAGACCTCATCTCTACAATAAATCAAAAAATCAGCCGGGCGTGGGAGCGCATGCCTGTAATTCCAGCTACTCGGAAGGCTGAGGAGGAAGGATCGCCGGAGTCCAGCAGGTCAAGGCTGCGGTGGCCGGGAGCGGCCACTGCACTCCAGTCTGGGCGACGGAGTGAGACGCCAACTCAAAAAAAAAATTTAAAAAAAATGTATTTCATACTAAAACAACAGAAAAATAGGAAGACATCAAAAGAGCAACTATTTTTAGAAAAGAAAATGCAGTTCATTTTCTTTACTTATCAACTTACTAATTAAGACAACTAATTTTTTTTTTTAAAAATCCAATATGCATCTTATTGATTTTAAGTCATAAAAGTCCAAAGAGAAAATGGTGTTCATTCCACATAATTAAACATTCAACTTGCCAATTCATGCATAGCTAGCCATTTGCTAAGCTTATGATTACAGTGACCAGGAGAGAACAAAAGCAGTTTTTTAAATGAATATTAATTATTTAAACTTGTGGCTTCAAATGGATGCTATGGAGCAATGTCTTCATATATCTGATTCTTGCAGAAATGATGCCAAATCAACTTCTTATTCACTAGCTATCTTTGTTTGGGCCAATAAGAATAAAAAACAGAAGAATATTATTAATACACAGTAGTATAAATGTTTAAAATTCTCCAAATAGTCACAAGTAACCAGTAATATGAGGATTTTAGTTATACCAAATAAGACAAGAAAAAAGCTAGACATTACATTTAAGTTTTAAAATAGAGAAAACATGGAATGGCATACCATATCTATTTCATAAAATTCTAGTTTACTCATATCTATCATTTGCAAATATCTATCTTGAGCTTGTCAGTATATCTAGGTTGAAAAGTAATTGGTTGGGTAGAAACATTATGAACATGAAAGTTGCTAGTTTACAAATGCATATGTAGAAAAATAATTTTACAGAGAGAATTTAATAGGTTTGACTGCCTGAGATTTGTTACAATCCTATTTGAACTTCAGTCTTGGAGTTCTAATAAAGTCTCTGAGCAAGATTCCTCCACTGCTCCAGCCCTAAAGTGTAATTATGTATGTGCATGGAATTATATATGGAATTAAACAGAAAGGAAATACTTTATCTGAGCATACAGGAATCTATATATAACCCTGGCTGTCAAATCATAAATTCATCCAGAAAAACAAACATAAATCTATAACTACACAATCTTGAAGGTTTTAAGTAGAAATTCATGTAATAAGGGTCATCTGCCTATCTCCAAGTTTATGAACACAAGCAGACATACTGATACAGATACAGACACACATGTGAAGCTATTATTTTAGTTAATACACAACACAGCATGAGAAGAACTCCTAAATGCATTTGGAGAGGGTCTTCATAAATTAAGAAATGCATGTTTAGATTTGTGTTCACCCCAAATCACTATTCCCAGCCTTGACTGCTTGTTAGGCTCTAAAAATCCTGGCACTCACCAGTATAAAGAAGTATGCATAGAGCGCCGCACAATGATGAACAATAAAAAATTTGTCACCAATCACTTTCCAATACAAAATGAGAATCAACAAATCTGTAAGAAGGAAAAATGAGTAAGACATTGCATAAGAAGAAAGCTGCATTGTATTTCAAGTGCTCTTAACTCTTTCTGAATATTCACCTCTGTTCACTCTGAGCCCATAGTACTTTGTTCATATCTCTGCTAGTCCTATGACCCACTTGGACATAAAGTAGCTGCTCATATACACCTATTTCACCCACTCTACTGTGGTTTCTCCAGGATAAGGGTCAAATTGTGGTTATCTTTATACCCTGATAATCTAGCACAGGGTCTGGTATAAAGTGTCATATATGTTGAAAGTATCAATGAATAGCTTATATCCAGAGTTAAATAAGAAATAAAAATAATTTTAAATAAGCTTAAATTACTGATTTCTATCACAACAATAATTCAAACGGAAACAAGATGGTTGTAACAAAAAGAAAGGTACAAAATGACCAATTCATTTATAACACAAATTCAACAGAAAATATTTTTAAAATAAAGAAAGAGGCCAGGCTCGGTGGCTCAGCCTGCAATCCCAGCACTTTGGGAGGCCAAGACAAGTGGATTGCCTGAGTCTGCGAGTTCGAGGCCAGCCCGGGCAACTTAGTGAGACCTCATCTCCATAATAAAAATAAATAGCCGGCATGGCAGCACATGTCTGTAGTTCCAGCTCCTCGGCAGGCTTAGGTGGGAGATTCGCTGGAGCCCAGCAGGTTGATGCTGACGCTGGGGTGGCCATGAGTATGCGTGCCACCACACTCCAGCCTGGGTGAAGGAGTGAGACTCCAACTCAAAAAAAAAATTTTTTTAAAGAACGCAATTAAGTATTAATTCAAAGGAGTAAAGCCACCAAGAACTGTGACTATTAAAAAGACAAAAAAGGAGGTCAAGGCATCGATTTTTCTTTAAAAGGTCCTGAATCTAAACACCATGATTCAGAAAATAGTTTAACAGAATAGAAATTGCTTGCAACATTTTTTTTTTTTTTGAGTTAGAATCTCACTGTCGCCCAGATTGGAGTGCAGTGGCCGCTCCCAGTCACCGCAGCCTTGACCTGCTGGGGCTCCGGCGATCCTTCCACCTCAGCCTTCCGAGTAGCCAGAATTACAGGCATGTGCTACTACGCCTAGTTGATTTTTTGATTTATTGTAGAGATGAGGTCTCGCTGCCCAGGCGGGTCTCGAACCCACGGGCTCAGGCAATCCACTCACCTCAGCCTCCCAAAGGCGCGGGATTACAGGCTGAGCCACCGAGCCTGGCTTGCTTGCAATATTAACACAGCTATTTTTTTTTAAAAAACAGATGGTTAAGCATAGAATGGAGACATGGAAACATGGCTATCATAGGTGGCGATCAGGGGAAGATGAAGGTTTTGTGGGGTTACATGAAATGGGGACGTTCTTTTATAAAAATAAAAATTACACTTTGCAGATCTATCACAGAAACAAAGAACAGAGTACCACGTTTTCTCACTCATAAGTGGACCCTGAACATGTACCATAATACTATAAGGAAACTGGTAGTAGCAGGATGCTATAGGGGGGAACACAAAGTCAATAAGGGTACCTGATCGGCCCAAACTTTACCTGTACCATGTTCACCGTATACCTAATCCTGAACTGTACTCTACATCTTTAAAATAAAATATTAAAAAAATAAAAGTTGCCGGGCTCGGTGGCTCAACCTGTAATCCCGCGCCTTTGGGAGGCTGAGGTGAGTGGATTGCCTGAGCCTGAGGGTTCGAGACCCGCCTGGGCAACTTGGCGAGACCTCATCTCCACAATAAATCAAAATCAGCCGGGCGTGGTAGCGCGCTTGCCTGTAGTTCCAGCTACTTGGAACGCTGAGGCGGAAGGATCGCCGAAGACTAGCAGGTCAAGGCTGGGTGGCCGGGAGCAGCCAATGCACTCCAATCTGGGTGACGGAGTGAGACTCCAACTTAATGAATAAATAAATAAAATAAAAATTACTAGTACAAACCCAGATATGAACATTTAGAAAGAGGGAAAAAAATCAGCAAATTGCAAATTAAAATTAAAAAAACCAAACATCATAAATATGAAAATCAAGAAAAATAATACAACACTATTAGTAATTAACTACTTGATACACGTCTTTAAAAACATCTATTTTCCCTACATATTTTGGCTCTTTATTTTTCGGTACCAATTTACAAGTTAATGATTTTGCAATACATTCTATAAAAAGAATAAAAAGAATTCATTTTTCATTCAATTGGCTTAGAAAAGTTTTTTAAAGTTGATAACTCTTGTTTGTAAGTTTTAGGGGGTTGTTATCTTATTTGAGAAAATCTTAATCAAGTTTCTTTCATTCAAGATTTCCTGGGGAATTACTATTCTCCGAATTGACAGCTCTCATTTACCAGTGCATGTGGCGTATTATAAAGTATGTGTCATCCTTGTCAATGACAGCATTTTGTGTCGAATGAGCCAATCTTTTTCCAGTGTGCTCCTGTGATTCATGCTTCTTTTAATTGGGCTATCCAACAATCTAACAGCCTGTTAATTGTTTCTATTCAAAATTTATCTCTTCCTCTTTTTTGTTACAACTCAGTTATTGATAATAGACTTTTTGTTAGGTTCATCACTTATCTTTTTCACTTTTTTCAAATTCCATTATTTTTATTTAGACTCTCTTTTAGTTATTTCATTAACTTAAAAATTAAAAAATATGGTTCCCTATAAAAATGTCCTAATTAAGAATCTGTTATTTCTCTCATTTTCTTATGACAATCTAAAATCTCTTTTCAAATTGCACTTAAATGGCACATTCTTAACTTAACTTCCCCTTTGCACATTATAAAAAAAAGGCTATTCCAACCCCATTCAACATGAGGGAAAATATGATAGAGGGAAACATGGAGTAGAAAGAGTTCTATGACCTTAACCAACTGTGGTTGAAATAGCTTACTTTTGCAGATTTTACCAAGACAATACAAAAGCATGACTATGTGGAACACATTTCAAGTACCCTTGCAGGTGAGGAACTCTGAGACAAACTTTGTTAGCCTCACAGTAATTACACCTGAAAAACTCTAGGGCAAAGAGAGATAATTGCTAATAAAAGGTGTCTAGGTCTCAGTTGTTTGAGGCCCCATTCTGCAACTCTGATCTTCAGTGAGAACTAGAAAGCTAACAAGAAAAAACATTTTATTTTCATCACCATTGCATGTATTTTTTTTCCTCTGTATGAGTCCTAAAAGCTACTTTTCAAATAAAAAACCAAAAGCATAAGCCATGTATTCCATACATAGGTCCATGAGTGGTTTAAAAATAATTAGACAATAAACAACATATCACATACCAGAAATGAGGTAGCCTGAAGCAATAGCAATATTCACATGCACAAGTGATGGATCGCCCCTGAAAAAATTAAAAAAAAAAAATTTCTTCTTTAAAAAACATGGATTACAGAAGACAGCTATTTCTTTTTTATACTGAGATTTAAATATAATGAAATGCATTCTATAGATTCTCAAACGGTCAGCTGTCATTTTCAAATAAAATCATAAAATATATAACAACAATGGAGTGGAACTGTGATGTATACCATAGTACTTGTACTAGCAAAAAGATGCTGTCCCCAGGATAACCTGAATCCATACCCCCTCAGGAAATCTAGTACCTTTGTGCCCAATACAAATTGTTTTAATCAAGAAATCTTTTGTAGTCCCCATCTTCCATGAATTTTACTCTAGGCCTAAGCCAGTCTCTAAAATTTCCTTGAAAATAAATAACCAACTCATGGAGTTCAAACTAGACTGAAATCCCCTAAACACAGATGAAGCCAATCCATACTGAGGTCCTCAATATTAAGAACAGATCTCCTGATGATGGCTAAGAGTACCTAGTGCATTTTATGAACCTAAGTGTTTAGAATCATTCCCATAATCCCCAAAATCCAGGAGCACAGCATAGGATTTGTTTTGTTTTAAACTGGGAAGTCATCATCCATACCACCAATGGCATTAACAATGAACGTGCAGAATACCTAAGTGCCTAACCAGAGTGGACACGCCAATGTATTAGGTTACCTGAGGAAAGTCTCGCTATCAGTTCTGGATCTTATTCTAACTCTATCAGTGCATACAAAGTATTGTGTTGACTATGACAATACTTCTAACAGCACGGATAGCCACAATTTCGTATATATCTTAGCTAAAAGTTTTACTAAAATAATTTAACAAAAAGATAATGAGATTGATCAATGTGCTCTCATATTATTGGTTTGCACAAGGACTCAAATGGAATTCTAGACACTGATTTAATTTTATTCCTTATTCTAAATCAGAAACTCACATAATCTAGTCCATCTCCGATTCTGAGGCAAAATAGCATCATCATCATCATCATCATTCCACTGAGGACTAGTGGGATTTGTCTATTATCACACAATTAGGAAACAATTATAACAGGACAGTTTAACCTGCTGTTTCACCCCCTCACGTAACATGATCCTATATTTCAGTCCTTCTAGTGCTCTTTTCTCCAAGAAACAAATGCAAGTTATCAGCCCTTTATCTGCTTTATGAGGTGAACCTACTGGCACAGAAGGCCAACTGGCAAAAAATAAACTATAAATGGAAAGATTTAGCAGAAGTAATGCCTTCTTTACATGTTTTAAACTGCAAATATGATGCAGGAAAATTAGACCTAGAATAAATCACAACACAAAAAATGCAGGGCAACCCCTTTGGGTCGCCTCCTACTGTGGGAGCTTTTCTGTCCTCTCAATAAATCCTGCTTTCTCAAAAAAAAAAAATGCAAAAGTGTTAAAAATTATATTAGGTTCAAGTCTGATAAGGCAAAAATTGATCAATATATTTAATCTATTTTGATGAGATAGGGTATCTCTCTGTCTCCCAGACTGCAGTGCAGTGATGAAATCATAGCTCACTGTAACTTCTACTTCTGGGTCCAAGTGAGTCTCCCATTTCAGCCTCCCATCTCAGTCTCCCAAAAAGCTGGGACTACAGGGGTGTACCATCACACCAGGGTGTTTGTTTTGTTTGTTTGTAGAAATGGGGTCTCACTTTGCTGCCCAGGCTAATAAATTTAATCTTTGTTATAAAATTCACTTCTCAAAAGAATTGGTTCTGCTGACAATCATGTTAGTAAAATAAAAATGAAATATTTTAAAAGGCAGAAATCATATAGGTGACCTAAATAAAAATCGAGTCAGGGAATTAAATTTGCTAAACTGATTCACTTTGAAAAATGAAAATTTATTAGTATTTATATACTTGTTATGGGCATAATTTCATATTTATAAATAAAAAATTACAACCTTGTAGTCAAAAGACCAGGTTAAATTTCCTACCTCCCCCAGAGCCAATAGCTATCATTTAAATCCAGTGCTTTCTTAAAACATACATTCTCTCTCAAACTAAGCTCAACTAAACCTCATATAATGCCAGCAAATACAGTTTGCAAAATGTCTGCCATTGGAGTGACATTTAAACTTCAAAAGAACTATCTTACAAGTTATCCTACTATTGCCGAATATAGTTATGCGTGGTTTCCAAAACTTCTCATGTGGTGCTAAATTCCTCACATATGGCCATCTAAAATTCTCATTTCATCCCTTTGATGTCAAACAATGGGTCAGACATAAATTAAGGCTGAATGTGATGACTCACACCTGTAATACCAGCAACTTGGGAGTCCAAAGTGGGAGTACTGCTTGAGGCCAGGAGTTTGAGACTAGCCTGGGCTACAAAGTGAGATCCTGTCTTTACAAGAATTTGTTATTTTTTTAATTAATCAGGCACTGTGGCACATGCCTACAGTTCCAACTTTTCAGAAGGCTGAGGCTGGAGGATTGCTTGAGATTGCTTCAAGACTGTAAGTCATGATCATGCTACTTGCATTCCAGTTTGGGAGATAGAGTGAAACTCTGTCTTAAAAATTAATTAATAATAGGTTAGCTAATTAAAGACAAAGTCTTAAGTAGATATTATCCAAGTTGACTTAACTATCTCAATAATGGTTTATTTTTGCTCAGAAGAGTGGCTTCAATAACTTGGTTCTACTCACTAACACAGTATAAATGTTTACATAATCATATTCTCCTTATTTTGAATAACATTTGCAATACTAAAGCAAAATAGTTTTCATTGGTATTCAAATCTAAAATAAATTATTTTAAATGCACTTTGCTGAAATAAATTTGAACACAAGCATTTTAGTTTTTTGTTTGTATTCAGTTTGGGGTTTTTTTTTGTTTGTTTGTTTTTGAGTCAAGTTCTCACTCTGTCACCCAGGCTTGTGTGCAGTGGCATAATCACAGCTCACCACAGTCTCAAGCAATCCTCTAGACTCAGCCTCCTGAATAGCTGGGACTACAGTTGTGTGCCACCACTTCCAGCTATTTTTTTATTTTTTGTAGAGATGAGGTCTTGCTATGTTGCCCATGCTAGTCTCAGATTCCTGGACTCAAGCAATCCTCCCACCTCAGCCTTCCAAATTGCTGGGATTACAGGCATGAGCCACTGCACCAGTTTAAACATTTTAATAAAGCATACACCATCAATATATTTTCTGTTTTAAAGTAAAGTAAACGATGTTCTTATTAATAATTAATATCAAAACATAAATCAATTTGGCTGTTGGAAAGAAATGGCTTACCAAAGTGGATCTGCTATAGTAGCCTCATCAGAGAAGAAAATGTACAGACCAAAAGCCCCAACCACCAAAGAATGGCATGTAGATACTATCCTGAAATGAAACAAAATACACATAGCTTAGCTTTTCCTAGCAAGACATTTAACACTGTGAACAACTTACACTTCAAAGCATTTCAATATGGAAGTGAGTATGTCTGAGAGTAAAATGCAAAATTGCCATTTAGAACCTTAAGGGCCATGATTTTACTTTAATGAATAACAAGGAAGATGCCAAGGTCTACAATCTCCTGCTAGAAAACTGCCAAATCACCCCGTCCTTTGTTAAAAGTTCTAAGGCAGAAGCAGTTGACAGTTTGTGCAAACTGGTGGCAAATGGCGATACCCTGCACCCTGATCTGAGCTATCACAGCATCACTACAGAATGGGTTTTCTGCTCCAATCAGCCAGGGATGACTCCTAAATCTACTGGCCTCAACCAACTCCATGTCCTTAAAACAATTCAAATGGATCATGACATGAAGATTTATTTCTTGGATATTGTTTTAAGTGTACACTCACATGCACTATTGCACTTGATTCTTGTGACAAATCTATGAGAAAGCAAGGGCAGTATTATTAATCCCCTTTTTCTATTATTATGAAAGCACTTATAAACAGAAAAACTGAGAACCATGAATTTATACAGAAAATCCATTTTTAAAAGAAACACCTGAGTGAAAGAAAAATGTTCTCAAGTAAAGTTTTCTTTTATAGAAGAAATAAGGTTTAGATTTTTTGAAATCAGTTTCTATGAACATATCTTGCTAAAAATTTAATGACTTAACTAATATCAAAGACCTATGGTACATTACTTTAAAAGTATATAGGATACTGTGTATCTATCTACATAATGAAGTTATTTTACCCAACAATTTCAGATTTTTCACATACTTATTGAGAAGTTTACATGTAATTAAGCTTATTTTCTCTTCATTAGAACAAAAGATGAGAGAAATAGCAAAATTTTCTCTCTAGAAATTACTGGTGGTGGGGCTTGGTGGCTCAGCCTGTAATGCCAACACTTTGGGAGGCCGAGGTGAGTATGTTGCTTGAGCCCGCAGGTTCCAGACTAGTCCGGGCAACTTGGCAAGACCTCATCTCCACAATAAATAAAAAATTAGCTGGGCGTGGTAGCACACGCTTGTAGTTCCAGCAACTTGGATGACTGAGGTGGAAGGATCGCTGGTGCCCAGCAGGTCGACGTTGGGGTGGCCGTGAGCGTACCACTGCACTCCAGCATGGATGATAGAGTTAGACTCCAACTCAAAAAAGAAAGAAAGAAATGACTGATGTGCAATGAATTTGTCTCCACAACATGACCCCAAATCTTTAAGAGGAAGTAAAATATATCAACCTGTTTATATTTGATATCAGAAAATTTCATTGTAGCTTAAAAAATCAATATGCTTGATGTAACAGATAGTGTGTTCTGAGATATATCATGATAAATCAACTCATATTCTAAATGTGTAGAGTCTCACTAATTGAAAGGCACTAACAAAAAATACTTTGTAATACTAAAGGATCATTTTTAAGTGTGAATAATTAATCCAGTTTATCTGGTATACAAGTCTGGAATTTACATGCCAAGCACACATGCATTCAATTTGAGCCTAGCAGGATAAAAATGTAAATTCCTTGATATCAAATAAAATGCCCCATCTAAGTAATCACACAGCCAGCTTTCTGTTGCAATTTGAAAATTCCATAAAAGAAAAAACTCTCTTACTAACTTGTCTAATCGTTTAGTAACAATAAGTCAAAAAGTTGCCTTTGAAAAAAATATAAATTTTTATTCCTGATATTTATGCCTGAAATTTCTTTCTTTGTTCAAATGTTATATGGTAAATGGAAAGCATTGTAAGTCCTCAGCTGAGGGAAATGGCATAGAATTCATTAGAGAAAAATTAGACTTACTTGGTCCAGTCAAACAGCTCACACTACAATGAAAATAAAAGCAGACACCCTGCACTTACACACCATTCCGAATGTATTAAAAGTCTATACTGTATTTTCAGAAACTTCTCTGTTAGTAAAAATTTCATATTTTATTCTTTAAAATCAGATTTCTGGCCAAGTAAATTGTAGTTTCTTTAGTATCTAAAAAGAAACACCGAGATAAAATATTTCAATTTTTTTCAAAGAGAGTTAATAAGAAGTGTTTGTGCTTATAAAAAGACAGTATATTTTTTACAGAAATGATTAATGTCCTTTTTAGAACAGTAATTTAAAGTTAGTGATTTAATTACAATTAGCATGAGTATTGCCAACAGAAAGTATAAGGCCTGAACGAACAAGAAAAGTTAAATTTTAGAGAAACAGCTTTAAAAATTATTAGTATTTCAACAATATGGGACTTTCAATGTGATAGGCAAGCAACTGGATACAACTAAGTAAGAAATTTTTAAAAATTATAAGGTATAAATAATAACAATAAGTACGTAAGCTTTCAGAAAAAGCAACAATTAAGTATAACAATCTCCTTCCACTTATAATGAAACTATTATCTCCTTTTTTCTCATTTAAAAATTGATACTTTTATTTAATACGTTATCTTTTTCATTTAATAAAGTCTCCAGTGCTATATTGACTAGAAGTGGTGAGTCCAGACATCCTTGCTTCATTCTTAATTTTAGTGGTAATGCATTGATATTCTCATCATTAAATACAATGCTAGCTGTAGATATTTATATACGCATTTTGCAATTTTGAGGAAGGTCTTTTATGAAACTATTAGCTCTTAAGGGGGCATTTTCCAATAATCTTTTTGTTCCTCCCATCGTTTTTCTACCAGCTCACTGATATTTATTGCTCAGAGACTCTTTCCTGATTACTAGAAATAATTGTATCGATTTGTATGTTTCAAGACTGGAGGCTAAATTTTAAAACATATATATGTACTTTACTCAAAAAGCCTACTTCTTCCTTCTTTGCACTCTCCACTTCACAGCTTAAGTCCTATGTAAACCAAGCTAGACTGGGAAGCAGAAGCAAATTTGAGAGAAAAATAAAACACCATCTGAATACCTAAATGAATCTTACATAATCCCATATTCCTTTTTCAAACAGAAACTCAGTTTCCCAAATGTTAAGTTCCTGCATCATAGAATGGCAGTGATAAGACAGAATAATGCAAAATATTTTTCAATTTCATCATTTCATTTTCAACTTTGCTTCCATCTGTGTACCCTCCCTATTTCTTTGGTTTGCAGTTATACAAAATTCAAATGCCTTTTCCTACCCTAACCACCATAAAAAGGAAATGAAAATAGCTCACAATTTAATCGAGAATATATGTCCCCCCCTTTCTCTTTTCTGCCACTCCATCTATCTTCATATGATAGAAAGGGTCTTTCTTAAAATAATGTTGTCTCTAGTACAATACATTTGAACAATATTTTTGCTCTAGTCTTCAGAGAAAATAATCATACCTCTTGTTTTTTTTAAATAGGTGGAGAAATTATTCTTGCTTTTTAAGTGAAAGGAACCAAAAATATATCAGTGTAAAGTACAAAAAAAACTCAACTAAAGTCTTATTAAATTCACAGTCTGAATTCTAAAAGTAGATACCTGCAAAACAGGCTCAAAGAAAGATAGGGGATTTGAGGTCAAATATGACCATTCTCAAATAAATATTGAGAGACTGGCAGAAGCCCTTGAATGTTAAAAGGAAACTTCAATGAACAATAATGATAGCAATTGTAGAGACTTACTGAATGCATTTTATAGTTAGCATTAACTTCAATCAAATAGCAACAACAAAAAAATATGCCATGGTTGTTCCGATTCACTGAGGTTTGCAAATGCACAGCAATGTTTGGGTGCATAAAATGTTCTAAAGCAAGTGAATTAGACATCAGAGTCATTTTGTGTTTGTGAGATTAATGAGTTATACACAAACAAACTGCAAAAAGTTTTACAACTACAGCAGATTTCTACATGCATAGGTGTCTAATTCTTTTTCCATTAATTTTTTGCTTTAAAAATATAAAAAATATCATCTACTTTAGAATGATATAACAAAAGAAATGCTGGAAGGCTCTCAATCATAATGAAAGTTAATTAAAAGACACAGATGCACTACTGCACACCTTGTTCTCTGGTGTGTAGAGTTTACCCTGGGTCTGGCTAAGCTGGTCAGTACCATATTGTATAAGTTACTCACAACTACAATGAATATTTTCTTCTGTTATTATTTCCAAAGAATATGTGTTATCATAAGTACTGCAGGGAAGAATGCAAAATAGCACTCTTCCACAGTCAGCTGGCATGTTAATCTTCACACACTTCCCCAGAAAGTTAAGTAAATTTTTCCTAACATCTTTCAATAGAAGAATTCTCAAAAATTTTTGTGTGAGATCTACCTGTTTTTCCTTTTATGTCTAAGGTCAAATAAAAATATGGCCTTAGATTTTGTTAGATACTAAATGAAAGACTTTTGGGAAATATTTTAAATAATTTTATTTCATAACTAGTTACTTTAGTCAATTATATTTTCATATGCTTTACCTTGAGTTCCATTCAATCTTCTTTTCGAGGCTGAGATTATTAAAACCTGAAGAAACTTTTGCTGAAAACCAATAACTTACAAAGTGGAAAAGAAGCTGAAAGGTGAAAAAGCTGGTACAAGTAGTGCTGATAACCAGTTCCCTATTGGTATCCATATTTCTTCAATCTGTTAAGAGAAATGACAGCTGTAAACTATCTTATGGTAAACATAGGTTAATATTTTTTAATTTTAAAAAGTATGTACTTGTACTTTTAGGATTTTTTTAAAAATTAGCACAAATGTAAGAATACAAGGAAACTACAAGAATTTTTGGCCTTTTGTGTTTCTTTACCTTTACCATCTATTTGTCATGTATCTTATGTTTGTATTTAAAATAAAAGAAGGAAAAAATCTATCATCTTAAATATCTCAATACTATAAATTTCAGAAGACATTTAACATCATGATATTCAAAATTATCTAAGTCTTAGAGTTTAACATTAAGAGGGAATTTCAAGTGCTAATAATGAAAAATATTATTTTAATAATATTATTTTAATTAAATTTAGGACAAATCACCTGATTTGTTTACATCTCAATTTCCTCATCTTTGAAATGAGAATTTGTTAGACAGTTTCTATGAAACAATCAAGCCAAAAATCGTACCATAACTAACATTACCTGAAATAACAACAACAAAAAATTGTAAAATAGCTGGGCTCGGTGGCTCAACCTGTAATCCCGTGCCTTTGGGAGGCTGAGGTGAGTGGATTGCCTGAGCCCGCGGGTTCGAGACCCGCCTGGGCAGCAAGACCTCATCTCTACAATAAATAAATAAAAAAAATCAACCGGGCGTGGTAGCGCATGCCTGTAATTCCGGCTACTTGGAAGGCTGAGGCGGAAGGATCGCCGGAGCCCAGCAGGCGAGGCTGCAGTGGCCAGGAGCGGCCACTGCACTCCAGTCTGGGCGACAGAGTGAGACTCCAACTCAAAAAAAAAAAAAAAAAACCAAAAAATTGTAAAATAAAAACTAATTGTACAACAGGACAAATGTTTAAAACGAAATTAAAATTTTACAAAGTAACAGTTTTAGAAAAGAACCATACCATTGTCACTGCATATATGAGTATTTAAGTTAAAAAAAAATTCTGCAATCACACACATCTTTGAACCAAAAGGCTTACATGGCTTTTTTACTTTTTCTTTTTTTAAAGATTTTTATAAAAGAGCTTCTGGTCATAAAGACAGTGTTCATGGAAAGAATAGTAATATGCATTCATACACACTGAAAATATATCTTCTATATCATTGTGCTGTACTTTATTTGGCTTCTAAAAATCTTAGGAACATTCAGACAAAAAAAAAAGACACTAAAGTATTTGCTCATTTCCAGCAAATATAGCATTTCTTTGAAAAAGTTTATCCTCAAATGAAAAGAAATGAATCAATACACATTTTCAGCTGCCTAATGTGAATAAAGTCACCTACTGAAGCCAATTCACCAGAGAAAAACCAAGTTATTGACTGTACTAGCAATAATCTCACTTCCTTCCCTTCCAACCATGATATCATAATAAGAAACGAGCTCCCACTGGGTCCCTTCTGAATTCATATATCTGTAACAAAGTCTTTCCTCATGTTTTTTCTTTTTCTTTTTTTACTGTGTGTGCTTGATAAAAATATTGATATTACAACTATTCTCTGTGAGATTCCATTAACTTTACTACTTATTTACTTTTTTAAGTTCAACAGGTGTTTATCAGGTATTAAAACTTTAATTTGTGGGCTTTTAGCCTAGGTTTAATATTAATCAAATAATAAATAAAAGTTTTGTACATAAATTAAACATCATTATAATCTGCCAAGTGAGATGCAAAGGGGAAAATGTTTCCCTAAGTTTAAAGCAAACAGGGATCTGGAGGCCAGGTAAACAGATAATTGAAGAAAAGCAAAATCAGTAATCAGAAAAGATGGAGAGTCTCATCTTAGACGCAAATAGGCCAGGCGTGGTGGCTCAAACCTGTAATCCCAGTACTTTGGGAAGCCGAGATAAGAGGAGTTAAGAGATCTGCCTGGGCAACATAGCAAGATTTCATCTCTACAAAAAATAATTTTTGATTTATAGCAAGGCATGGTGGTGCATGCCAGTAGTTCCAGATATTCAGGAGGCCGAGGTAGAAGGATTGCCTAGCCAAGGAGGGAGTTCGAGGCTGCAGTGTGTGTGTGTACATATATGTATGTATATATGAGGATGGTTTGCTCTGAAGCTTTTTGTATGTTCCCTGCTGGTCATGGAGCAGTAGATGGGCATGGGCTGCTCATTAACTTTTGTTAAAATTCAATGTATATAAGGCATTTATTTTATGAGTGCTTGTTAAAAGTTATCATAAAACATTTATATCATAAATTATCCATTTTATGAATTGTTAACTAATACATTAAACAACACTCAAATAATTCACCATTAAGAAATTTATCTCCACCACCAACCACTAGGGAGAGGAAAACCTATTCAGTAAATGGTGCTGGGAAAACTGGCTGACCACATGCAGAAGATTAAAACAAGACCCCTACCTATCACCATAGGAAAAATCAACTCTAAATGGATCAAAGACCTAAACATAAAATTTCAAACTATAAGAACCATAGAAAACACAGGAGACACCCTTATGGCAATTCCTGACCAAAAACCCAAGTGCTCATGCCATAAGAGATAAGATAGACAAGTGAGATCTCATCAAAAGCCAAAGAAACCATCAAGAGAGCGGGGAGAGAGCCCACAAGACTGGGAAAAAATATATGCCAACTGTATGTCTGACAAAGGCCTAACATCTAGGATCTACAACGAACTCAAATGTGCTGAAAAGAAAAAAACAAACAGCCCCATTATAAAATGGGCAAAAGATATGAATAGACACCTTTCAAAAGATGACATATGAAAAGCCAACAGATACATGAAAAAATACTCAGCCTCACTAGTCATCAAAGAAATGCAAATTAAAACCACACTGAGATACCACCTAACTGAAGTCAGGGTGGTCATCATCAATAACTCCAAAAAACAGCAGATGCTGGAGAGGATGCAGGGAAAAGGGAACACTTCCACTCTGTTGGTGGGTGTGTAAACTAATACAATAGTTTGGCAATTCCTAAGAGAACTAATAATTAACCTTCCATATGACCCCGTAGTCCCCCTACTGGGAATATACCCGGAGAAACTCAAATCACTCTATGAAAAAGATACCTGTACACGTATGTTTATTGCAGCATTGTTCACAATAGCAAAAACATGAAACCAACCCTGCTGCCCATCTAAAGAGGATGGGATAAAAAAATAAAAAAGTGGTACATGGACATGATGGAATATTACACAGCCATAAAGAAGGACAAAATTATGATGCAGCAACTTGGATGGACTTTGAGTCTATGATACTGAGCAATCTATCAAAGAAACAAAGAACTGAGTATCTCATGGTCTCACTCATAAGTGGACCTTGAATGATTATACTAATACTATAAGAAAAGGATTGGCAGTAGTGGGAAACTGCGGGCAGGGGATAGGGGGAAGGGGTGGTGGGATTGGCAGTAGTGGGAATCTGTCGGCAGGGCGGCACACCTCATCAACAAGGGTACTTGCATAATGAACATCTATATTTGTATATCTAACCCTGAATTGTACCCCACATCTTTAAAATAAAAAAAATTTTTTTAAAAGAAATTTATAATCCTCCCCAAAGTTGAGTTTTTAGTAAGTCTTTCTTATACAGGATGACTATCTTACATTTTCAACAGAATTATTTTCAGTTGAGTCTTTGAGGTATATGTTGAGAGTCTCCCTTTGCAAAAATGTTTCATTTAAAACTAAATAAAGAGCTCCATATATTCAAAATGTGGCTTCCATTAAAGGCTCCACAGACAGAAACTAATTAAATTGTTCTCTCAGCTTTGCTTCTTAATAATAAGCAGCTCCTTGCTTAATTAGTCATGCCAAATCAAAGACTAATCTGGAGACGTTTACAAATTTATCCAGAAAACTGAGGCTTCTAGTAGGAAACAACTGCTCCTGTTCATTCACTTCAATGCGTGGATCAGGCAAGAAAATGATAAAAACAGAAAACCAATGATATTCATTACTAGTATATATCAAGAGTCTGAAAGATCTTGGTGATTATTAATATAGGAATACGCAGTAAAAGTAGAAAAGCATTAGACCTAGCTCATGTACCCCTACATGTGGCTAGTAGCTAGCAGAAGCCTGGGACACTAACTAGCCTAGGAAAGAGGCTGAAACAGAAGCGAGAAATATTTTTGTGGCAATTCACCAGAGTGTCTAGAAATGAATTCTGCAATATAACTAGCCCATCTTGATTCACAGGGATTGTGAAACCAAAGGCATTCTTACAGAGACCTGCTGAACACGATGTTTATGCTCTTCATCCAAGATGCTTTACATAAACTTAACTGAAGTTGGTTTCTTAGTGAGAAAAAACAAGAAAAAGTTTGAAGTACAGTCATGTACCACATTACACACTACATATACAACAGTGGTTCTGTCAGATTACAAGGGAGCTGAAAATGTCTTATCACCTTGATTTCTTATCACAATGCATTACTCACACATTTGTGGTGATGCTGGTATAAACAAACCTACTGCACTGCCAGTTATATAACAGTATAGCATATACAATTATGTACAGAATATCATACTTAATAATGATAATAAATATTACTGATTTATGTTTACTGTACTATACTTATTTTCATTATTTTAGAGTATACTCCTTCTACTTATTTTTTAAAAACTGTAAAACAGCCTGAAGCAAGTCTCTCAGGAGGTATTCCACAGGAGATATTCCAAAAGAAGGTATTGTTATCATAGAAGATGTTAGCTCCATGAGTGTTTCTGTCCCAAAGACCTTCCAGTGGGACAAGATGTGGAGGCAGACAGCAGTGATATTGATAATCTGACCCTGTGAAGGCACAGGATAATGCATGTGTTTGTGTATTGGTTTTGTTTTGTTTTATTTTGGAGTCAGGGGCTTATTCTGTCACTCAGACTGGAATGCAGCAGAATAATCACAGCTCACAGCAGCCTTGAACTCCTGTGCTCAAGCAATCCTCCCTTCTCAGCCTCATGAGTAGCTGGGATATGAACCACCATGCCTAGTAGTGTGACTTGGTTTTTA